GGACTGGTGGTTTAAGGACTTGTTCTGTTTGACTGGGCCCAATATTTCTACAAAAGTTTAGTCTTTTTTCACAGTCTCCACGAAATAGGGAGTTTCTCCCTGTGTCCTGGCCGACAATCTTCTTGATAGATAGGAAATTGTTCATTCACTTCAATGGCTATTTGTGGGACATTGTTCTGCACAAACCACCTGCCAATTGGAGTTGAGGTACAGGTCAGCCATGAGGTAATAGATTGGCAGAACAGGTTCGAGGAGCTGAATGGCCTATTCCTGTTCCGATGTTTCTATGTCGCATTCACCTACAAATACGATCAGTACCATTTACAGTAAACCCTGTGAAACAATTTGAAACATTTTGGTGGCATGATAAGACGTTATATCAAATGCAATCATTATCATTTTAATTGTGCTGCAATATTAGAACTGGACCAAACATTGTAGATTAATTCTGTAGATTGAATCTGTAGCAAAGGCTATTTATTATGCATTTTATTACCATGTCTATTAAATAGATCATTTGTATGGGAACACATTCTCTAATTAGGACTTGTATTGTAAGATCTTTTTTTAATGGTGTATTTACAAAAAGCTCCAATCGATTGTAGACTATCGGTGTATATTAAATACAATGAAAGAGATGTCAATTCCAGAGCAATTTTCAACNAAAAAACATGCAGAATTATCAAAAATAATTATAATGAAGATAATCCTTGCATTTGATATAGTGCCTTATCACATCTTCGAGACTTCTCAAAGCGCTTCACAGCATATACTGTAAAGTGAATTGACTGAATATTTTGTGGGCGAAACGCAGCAGCCAATTGCACACAGCAGCGTCCCCACAAACAGTCGTGGATTGAGTATCAATTAATATTATTATTATTTTTAAGGGATTTTAACTTCTACTAACCAAATGTTCACCGGACCGTTCAAGCTCACATGGTCTTTTTCAGAGAGTTTTGCTACTTTTTGACCGTTAATAGTTGGAGAAAGATATGTCATTCAAGTGAAACAAGTACAAGTGACCTAGTTACTCCCCAACCCATGATCCGCTGCCTCCAGTCGACTGCCTCCTGCTTGTCCCTTGTACCCTCTTTCCCACCATCATTGGCTACCCTTTCAGCCACTTCGCCCCAAAACTCTGGAACACTCTTCCTCCATCCCTCTTCCTTGCCCCAACCTTCCCCGTCTTCAGATCGCGCCTGAAAACCTTCCTGTTCGACCGTGCCTACGGTCACCTCCCCTCTCCCCCCCGGCTCGGTGTCGCACTCCGCCACTGTCAAGCGCTCTGAGACGCTGCCCTGTGTGAGGGGGCGCTGTGTAAATGCAAGTTGTTGTTGTTGTCGAAACAAAACAGAAATATTTTCAACAGAATAATGTAACCCAACTTCATAGCACAGCACAATAGATTTCAGAATAATTATGCGCACAGATCGCATCTCAATTATGCACACAGTACACATCTGAACACTTTTAAATATTCTGGTTTAGTTTAGTTTAGGCACTAATTTGTGTTTCCCTGGAGAACCATTATAGTTGTGCTGTCAAGCTAGTGATGCAGTAGAATTGCTGTCTGACAAGTGAGATGGCTGAGTTCACTTTTCTTATAATAATTCTTTAGAGCAAATAATCATACTCACAATGTAGTCTAATAAATGGCAATTTCTAACCTCATTCTTTAATAATGTGGTTATTAATGCCCCACGACTCTGGAATTCTCTGCCTCAATACCCCCCCCCACCCCCCACCTTGTCGTCGTCCTGCCCCCATTTGTCTTCAGATTGCATCTGAGACCACCCTCTTTGACCGTGCCTTTTGTCACTTCCCCTCTCTCCTCGGCTCAGCGTCAAGCTTCGCCACTGTTAAAGCGTTCTGAGAGGCTACCTGTGTGAAGAGCACTATATAAATGCAAGTTGTTGTTCTTGTTAATAACATAAGGTGTCAGCCGAGGTCAGTTGTTAGCACTCTCACCTCTGAGTCGGAAGGCTGTGGCGTCAAGCCCCATGACAGAACTTTGAACTTGTACAGTTTTTAACGCTCCAAGTACTGTACTTGGGGGTGCACTGCATTGAACCCCCTTCAACTACTTAAAATGAGAAAGGAGTTTCTTTCAATGTCCTGCCCAACAATCCCTCATTAACAATTGATCGTTCACTTCAAGGCTGTTGTGGGACAATGCTGTTTGCAAAATACACAGAAACTCTACAGAAAGATCCTGTGAAGGGCTTTGATACATCTTCCCAATGCACCATATCAAATGCAAAGGTTGTTTCTCGGGCAGGGGGCAATCTCCTACTCTGTACATAGTTTATATCAGAGCATAATTTCTATTTTAATAACACAATATGTTCCTGGTGTTATCCATAAGGCATCCACATTTCAATTTGCTTATTAAAAAAAAATCATGTTGGAAATCACTGCATAGAATAAGCTCCAAAATCTGCAGAAAGCCATCAAATGGTAAAGTCCTTATTTTCCTATTCCAGTGTGTTGCCAGTTAAGGACACGCTATCAAAAATGCAAATTGTAGCTAATTTCAGTTCCCTAATTAGGTTCTGCAATATATACACCATATGTTTCTTAAGATTGGAGATACTGCAATGGCCCATTTCATATTACAGTGCTCCCCAATGTAATGTGTCTGTTCCTATTATTGCTATTACTGCCACTAATACAGCTGGAGTATTGCCATGGATATTCATTTCAGGCACCAGCACTCTCATTCTCCAACCCTCTGATCAAGCTTCTTTGCCGAACGCAATGGAAGTCGTGCAAATAAACCTGAGTAAGGATTTTGTGTGTATTAATGGCGTATTTGTCCCCAATCATTACAGCAAAGAGAAGTCATTAGTTCCCTTCCACCCACCCGCCCCCATTCCACATTTCACAATGCTAATGCATAATGTGCATTGTTTATAGGTTCCCGTATAATGGAGACATCAGTACCTAAATTCTAGCTCAGCCCTGCTTTTTGTAAACTTTCCAACAATTCTAATGTAATTAGGTATTCACTGCATCTCCTGCGGAGACATGTTTTCTGCAGAAATGCAACATTTCTTACCAGTAGAGTAATTTGAATCCTAAATATCATATTGATTATAGTAAATTCTCCGTGTTTTATTTTCAATAAAATTAACTGCACACTTTTTTTTAAACCTCAAAAAACAAAATCCAGAAGACATTGGTACTTGAAGATTTTATTTCTATAATAATAATCCTTGTCGCGTCGTCAAGATGTCCCAAAGCGCTTCACAGAATATACTGTAAAGATGAGTGACGAGTGCATTTTGTGGGTGAAAATAATATTTCTTGTCAAAAAGCTGACCTGTGGCAATATATTTAGTGTCATTCTATATTCTTGCATAACTGAACTTTTGCAATCCTCTCAAATTGTCTGAACGAGCCTGGTTCGTAGTGCTAATTTTATTCCAATTTATAAAGAACCAGGACAAAACATGCCTCAAGTTATTGTTGCACCCTGACTGTCTGAATTTTCACAGCATTCAAAACACTAGTTGGGGCTACTGCATTTCACAAGCTGATATACCTATTGACCACTAGATGTTATGGTGAAAAAGCTTATCGCTGTGAAAGTAAATGTCTGTCCTTGTGTCTACACATGGAGATTACAGCAGACTTTCACAAGCAATTTAATTAACCTTTGATCTCCGCATGGTAAAACTGTGCATCAATAATTATGTGTTAAACCATGTGGAGACTGTTGACTTCAGCAAATGCCATACAAGCATAATGTACAATTATCTTACCAACCTAACCAATATGTAAACCTATCTGTTGTGTTCACGGTATGTTGCTCCTGCAGACTAAGCCACGCGCTGATCTGAAGCCAGTTGATGGGCTAAATTCAGATTTAGACAAAATAAATTGTTTGTCCATTGGTATACGATTCCACTCAGAATGCTTGGTATAAACTCTGGTCCAAATACTAAGACAATGCTGCTTTCATAGCAGGGGAAGGTCAGATCGCTGAGCCACACAGCAGCAATTGTGCTTGTGATAAAATAACACTTTCACGCCCACAAAATATACGATCGGTTGCCGTATCAAATGCAAGTATTATTACATTTTGTGAATATTTGATGTCATTGCATAAGTGTCCCAGTGACATCTGAGGCAACAACGAGCACAAAGTCATTATAGATTTATTGTTGCTTTACTGAAATAACTATGGTGAAGGCTAGTTGGTGAACTTGACGATCGACCAACTTTGCTCTGAGCCTTTTGCCTCTGTTCTGCTGCTGTTACTTGGGTGTCAGAGATCAAGAAAATAAATTTCTAATGATTTTTTTGCCTTCTAATGATGGTGAAGGCCTCTGATCTCATTGCCCTACTTACCCAATGACATCAAAAGCCACATATGTGCCATTAGATGAAATCTCTGCGGGATGGAACATTTTTATCTGGAGTCTGATCTCCTCCATATGGAGACAATGGAGGAATGCAACTCCCAGAAGATTCTCCCTAATTCAGTTCTGGAAAACAGGAATATTTTTCATGACATGTTTTTTCCAAGGGCAGCTGCATCCTAAGATAAACTTGGAATGTAAAAGTCCATATCACATTACCTGGCTCATGATGACATTTTTAGTTCTGCTTCCTCATCTGGTGACGAGAGGGAAGAGGGTTTTTTCTTTACTACAACAAAATGCTAACCCTTAAGTCTGGATTTCCGAGTACTCCTAACCCTTTCCCAAAAGAGTATGATTTTTTTATATCTATTAACTGGTATAAAATGTGAGATAACAATTTCAGGAGCCATTATTTAATAGGCCTTTTAACCAATGTAGTGTTATATTTCATTAGCTTTCTTATTCTGGGTGGGATGCAATAAATAAAAAAAACAAAAATAATTTGGTCACTTTTGACTGCCGCGAGGATTATTATTATTGTTTTTGCGCAAACGTTGTGACAACTGAAACGAAGATCATGTGAGCAAAGTTCTGACGTTTGATTTTTTTATCCCTGTTCCACACTTGTAGGTTGTTTGGAGTGACGGGAAACTGTGCTGCGTGCAGCAAGCTCATTCCTGCCTTTGAGATGGTCATGAGAGCCAAGGACAATGTTTATCACCTGGACTGTTTCGCCTGTCAGCTGTGTAATCAGAGGTACAGTAGCTGTTCTTTTGATCCAAAGGCTCACACTTTCCACAAGGCAACCAAATAGTTCAAAGATTCTAGCATCTGTTTCTCACAGCAAATTTGGACCTTTTCATTCTCAATCGCATCTGCTTTTTATTAGATCCTTGACAATAGTAAATGCGATCCATTAATCGACTCAGGTCGTCCGCACTACATGATGTTAGACTCCTCTACCAACGCATTTAGTATTCTTTACCAAGTAACTTAATGGCCCAGGGTTAACCGGAGCTGACCGCCACAAACTGAACTAAACAACCAACATTTTGTCATGATGTTTCGGACACTGGTGGGGTTCTGGATCACCAAAAGCATTCACAGGGTTAAACAAATTAATAGGAAAACGTGTTTAAATAGTGATGGAGATACCACTACTTGCCAAGAAGCCTGCTCTGCACATTAATAGGAAAATTCATTAACGTTTGCACAGCCTTTGGGGGCCTTCCTGCCAACAGAAAGCCCCTGAGGGTAATAATTGTGTTGAAGTCTATAAATATGTAGGATCTAATATAAAATGATACATTGAGAAATGTTTGTTCATTAGCTTGAGGGTGAGGTGTGTGTATATTAAATTTAATTAATATTTTAGAAAATTAATGAAAATGTGTATCCACTTTTGATCACGGAATGATTTTTTTTCTCTCTTTGCTCATTTAAATCAGTTTGACTTTAATTTTCCTAAAGTGGGGTTGGGGCAGGAGAAGCCAAGGCAATGTCTAAGCTGCGTGTATTACATGCAATAGAAATGTTATCCCATGCATTGATGTGTGGATTATCAATGAAGTAAAGACTGAGAACTTTTTCGGGTACATTAAAGGATACAAAGGTTATAAACGTGTAAGGCTAAAACGTTATAGTTTTTTCTTCCAATATGCGTAGATTCTTTCAGGAATGGAAGTGAGATGGTGTTCGATATACAGCACTGATGAGAAAATTACAACAACCACTTTGACATGGAGGAATGAGTCATTGAAATCAGCTTAGTTTCAAGAGGACACAGGGGGTTTTCTTTGTGAAGCTTTATGGAAAGAGTGTGTGTAAAGAGTAGCGGGATGGAATATCGAGAGAAAGGATTCGATGGCTGTGCTCTGTGCTTTGCCACTCACAAACAGGAGTTTGAACGATTTGCGTTAAGTTGCAGAAATTGTCAATTGAATTTAAGCTCCCTGTGGGAAGAAAAAAGTGAGGCATTCTACAGCCACAAGCACATTGATCAAGGAACGTTTTATGGAAGGAGGCAAATAGTTAAAACTGTGTGTGAGAGCGGTTGAGTAGCAACAGAGGTGTTTTCCCATCAGGATGGCCTGAGTGGGTATTATTGTGCATATCATGAAACAGAAAGAAAAGGAAACCTAGGACATGAAAGGCTCACAAGTCACAGTCATTACAACTCCAGTCTGTGTGCCAATCTTGAAAGAGAGACTTTAGCAGCAAGTTGACTGTTTGTGACAGATGTTTTGACACAATCTACTGTGTGTGTGTAACTGATGTGATGTCTCCACCGCAAGTGCCACATACTCAACACCCATAACCATTGCTCCCTGATGTCCCTCATGCTGTAAGGTGGCAATGTGTGTCTGGGTATTTGTCTCCTCCACGCCATTCCAGACCAAAGTTTTCTTCAAGGAAACAAGAGGGACATTAATACCCTCCTGCCTCTGTAAGGGCCACAAATTCAAAATGCGACCATTGAGGACTCTTTCCCCTGAGAAGTTGGTAGGAGCTGTGCAGTTGGGTCCTCGTGAACCATCACTACTACTCCATTACCAACGTCCACTGCCTCACCTTCTCAATATCAATATCTCCAGCAGTATTTACCTGTGGCTGGTGCCTAGTGCTCTATGGGTGTAGCCTATAAGTTCACATCAACCTAATCAAAAAGCAGTGTGTAAAGTGGATCAGTGTGTAAAGAATGCATTCAAGCAACAACTACTATAACAACAACAACTTGCATTTATATTTGTGCCCCTCATGCAGGGTAGGGTCCCAGAGGGCTTGAAAGCAGCATGTCACGTGCATTATAGAACATCTAATTTAATATAATATTCAATGCAAGTTATTGTGCTGTTCTGGCCTCTCTTCCAGATTCTCCCTCCCTCCACGCTTCCTCCGTACAGTGCAAGTACCTTCAGATTTGAAGGTGCATTACCAAGTGCACAGTCTACCTTGCTATTAGATGATCATTTTTGCCCTTAAACATAAGAACAATGTAGGTTAAAACCTTGATCACGCCTCTGTTTACCTAGCAGTAAATAGGAACCTGGTTGTCAGGTTCTCTGGGGGTAATATCTCCTTCAAAAAAATAATAATAAACTGGTCACTCAATCTGGGACTGTTTGTGAGACACTGCTGTGCGCAATTGGCTGCCGCGTTTCGCCCTCAAAATATACAACCAATTCACTTCACAGTATATTCTGTGAAGCGCTCTGAGACATCTCAAAGGCATGATTAGGCTCTGAATCAAATGCAAAGATTATTATTATTGTTGATCAGGCCAGTGGAAATTCCTCCTGGGAATGTTCTCTTGCAATAGACATAATATAGTTCGCATAAACTCTGCGATTTTGCATTCTGATGCCTCATTTCCTAAATTTTGGTTAACATTCTTTGTGCAAATGGCTTTTTTGGACATACTTTATCTGTAAGTTTCCCTCACGTGCATATATGCCCTGCGCTCACAAATCACACAGAGAACAAGACATTTGAAAGTGATTGCAAGGCAGTAATCTATGAACTGGGAGAGCAAATTGTAAGTGGTTTTCTAATGGTGATCTGAACCTCTCAGTAGAGTGCATTATTGAAATTACTCTTTAGTAAATCTCTTCTCCCCCCTATATAATACTGTACATATATTTAACTCTTTCTATGGGCTGCTGACAATATTAATAATAATCCTTGCATTTGATACAGCACCTTATCACGTTTTCGAGATGTCTCAAAGCGCTTCACAGAATATGCTTTAAAGTGAATTGACTGTATATTTTGTGGGCGAAACGCGGCAGCCAATTGCGCACAGCAGCGTCCCACAAACAATCCAGATTGTTATAACAATCAAATAATTATCGTTTTTTTTAAAGGATTATTACCCCCAGAAAGTAATGTGCCAATTGACTAACAACCGTGTTCCTATTTACTGCTAGACAAACAGAGGCGTGTGGAGTAAGGAAACTTGCCAAAGGTTTCTCCCTGCCGGAGGATCAAACTCGGGTCCTCTTGTTTGCGAGGAGAGTGCACTAACCACTACGCTACAGGATGTATTTAACATTATTGTAGTTGTTCCCCAAAGTTTTTTTTTGTAATGATTTGTGAAGCAGTACCATGCCTGGCCCACAGAGCAGGCGATATCCAACCCAGAATATCTACTAAATTATAGCCTTTCACTGAGTGATTTGTGCCACTTTGAACTTCCTGTCATCCCTGCAAAAGCGAGAAGAATCCATTTAAGTAAATGTTTTAACACTACTAAGGGCTGTGCTGTGTTTGTGGGAACAAAACCCACACAAACTTTTTTTAAAATCGTTTAGGGTAAAGTTCTGGTGATGATTGTTATTTAAGGTGCTGTTTTAACATCCATTTTGTTTTTAATAATAATAATAAAATCCTTTCATTTGATTTAGCACATTATCAGGTCTTAGAGACGTCTCAAAGCGCTTCACAGAATATAGTGTAAAGTGAACTGACTGTATATTTTGTGGGCAAAACTCCGTAGCCAATTGCGCACAGCAGCGTCCCACAAACAGTCGTGGATTGAGTGACCAAATTATTATTTTTTAATTCTCTCCTAAAACTTTCAATTTTAAGATTATTACAATTTGTGTAATATATGGCATCAAAATTCAAGGCAGCTATTTATCATTTTAATCTCATTTCCTTTTTTCCATACTGCTAAATGAATGCCTTTGCTTTCCACATACCTAATGTCATCTCGCTATCTCTTTGTACCTCAATTGAATCAGCATTGATGGCATTCTCTGAAAATGCATTACGCATTCTCACACACTCTCTGTGATCGGAGTTCACCATTAACCAATTTAGCCCTGATTTTAAAATGATCTCCCCTTGTCCTGGATTTGTCTACAGAGATAAGAGTCGTTCTCTATCTACCTCATCAATTCCCTTTAATTTTAAAGACCTCAATCAGATCATCCCCTTGACTTAATCAGTTCCTGGAATTAAAAATGTGAATTTACCCAGTCTCTCATCAGCACTAAATCCCTTTGTGCCAGCTATCATTGGGGGTGATTTGCCATCCTATTTCCTCCAAGGCCAATAAATCCTCCCTGAAGTGTAGTGCTCAAAACAAACTGCAGCAGATGACTAGTCTAACTAGAGTTCTGTATAACAACAATAAGACTTCTTTGTCTCTATATTCTAGACCTTTTGTGGCGATAATAATAATCCTGGCATTTGAAACAGTGTCTTATCACGTCATTGAGACATCTCAAAGCGCTTCACATGATATACTGTACACTGAATTGATTGTATATTTTGTGGGCGAAACACGGCAGCCAATTGCACACAGCAGTGTCTCACAAACAGTCGTGGATTAAAGCCCTGCAATCAGAACATTCCTGTTGGACCAAATTCATGGATGACAATATGTTTCCTATCCATAATAATATCATCCTTATACTTAATGTACAGTGTCTTATCATGTCAAAGTCTTAAAGGGGTTGATGGAGTAATCTGTAGTGTAGTGACTGTGCACCTGTAGAGAAACACAACAATTAGTTTACACACAGGATTGTCGAGCAAACAACCATGAAACGATTGAGGAGATTATTGGCCAGTACACCAGGATAAACTCCATTCTCTTTTCGAATGGTGCCATGAGATCTTTAAAGTTCTCCTGAAGAACCAAAGGGGACTTTGGTTTAATGTCTCACATGAATGACGACACCTCTTATGATGCAATGCTCCCCCAGTACTGCATTGGAGAATCCTCCCAGACCATTAGCTTAAAACCCCAATGTGTGGTTTGAACTCACAACCTCTGACTCAGAAGCGAGAATGCTTCTAAAATGAGCTAGGCTGCTAATATGCAGGTAAGATGCACTGCATTCCCTGTGTCCTGATTTTAGCTTATCCACTGCATTTGGCGTCTTTTTCCCTGGGATAGGGACTTGGGGGATAAAGATCAGCCTGAGATACTGGTACAGGAGTTATTCAATGAGGTCTACAAGAGGTACGTGGCAAACAAATTTGAGAAATGGGCAACAATGGGTGAATAAACCAACTACACTAACTGTCCAGGTTCACGTTAACAATTGCCACTTGGGTTAAGTGCTGAAAAGCTGTTGCTATTACCATGGAACTCTACTCCGGTCAGTTCCCAAGAGGAGAGAGGGATGGGAGAAGGAGAAAGAGGGAGGGAGGGAGGGAGGGAGACAGAGGGAGGGAAGGAGGGAAATAATTTATGGAATTAAGCAAAGATGCAGCATAACTATAAAGTGCAAGAAAAAACTTTTTTTTTAATGGGGCCTTGTATCATGTAATCGGAACATAGGAAGTAGGAGCAGCAGTAGGCCATTCGGCCCCTCGAGCCTGCCCTGCCGTTCAGTAAGATCATGGCTGATCTTCTAACCTATCTCCGTCTGCCCGCCTTATCCCCATATCCCTTAACCCCTCTATCCTTTAGAAATCTATCAATCTCAGTCTTGAATACGTTCAAGGACTGAGCATCTACAGCCCTCTGGGTTAGAGAATTCCATAAATTCACTACCCTCTGAGTGAAGAAGTGTTTCCTCAACTCTGTTCGAAAAGGTTGTCCCTTAATCTTAAAACTGTGACCCCTAGTTATAGATTCTCCGCAGGGGAAACAGTCTCACACTGTCTACTCTGTCAAGCCCCATAAGAATCTTATATGTTTCTATAAGATCACCCCTAATTCTTCTATATTCTAGAGAATATAGGCCTTGTTTACTCAACCTCTCATAGGTTAACCCCCTCTTCCCAGGAACTAACCTAGTGAATCTACGCTGCACCCCCTCTAAGGCGAGTATGTCTTTTATTACTCCCACCTAGCTTAGTATCTTCCACGAATTTAGATATTTTAAGTTCTATCCTCGTCTAGATTACTGATATAGAGTGTAAATAGTTGAGGCCCAAGCACTGATCTTGTGGCACTCCACTAGTCACATCCCGCCAATCTGAGAAGGACCCGTTTATCCCTACTCTCGGTTTTCTTCCCGTTAGCCACTCTTCGATGCATGCTAATATATTGCCTTTAATTCCATGAGCCCTAATCTTGTGTAGCAGCCTTTCATGTGGCACCTTGTCGAATACCTTCTGAAAATCTAAATCCACTACATCTTCTGGTTCCCCTCTATCTAACCTGCAAGTTACATCTTCAAAAAACTCTAAAAGATTTGTTAAGCATGACTTCCGTTTTGTAAAGCCATGTTGATTCTGCCAAATCATGTTATGCTCTTCTAAGTACCTCACTCCGATGTCCCTAATTAAGGATTCTGTATATATATATATGGAAAGTGGTTGAATGACACATCCCTAGCCTACAACCCATTGTCTGTCAACTTATCAGCAGGTTTGTTTAACTGCTTTTCTACTCGACAGTGAATTTCCTGAGTTTCTGTTGACATTTTGATTGAAACAAATCTTCGCTGTATCTCTGTATAACAATGCACAGTCCTATTTGTAAAGTCAAGCAACAAAAAGCTTGCGAACTGTTTGAAAATTAAAATTTTGCAGTTGAATGGACTGAGGTTTTCTTTTACCTGACGTATTTTTAAAAAATTCCACACAGTAGCATCTTATCTAGTCAACTAAATAATAGAAATAATGTGAGTTCTCGAACCTGCTAGATTGAGCTGCGATTGGGTGCACAGGTTATCTGGCATGTGGCTGTACAAATGAATATGAAGTGTTGCTAATTCAGTATTGTGAGGGCTGCAAATATATTTGCTTGCAGTATTAAATCTAATCTGTTCAAACTTGTTGTGAAAATATTTTTGGAGGTACACTAAATAGGCATCTGGTTCTACATGGCTCATTTAATATAAATTGTAGGAACTATTTTCTGCATTACAGTATGTCAGCTAGAAAGGAAATGTAGTTTAATAATATACTCAATAGAAATAGTCTTTAGGCAGGTTTCCTTACTCTGTTTACCAAGCAGTAAGTAGAAACGTGGTTGTTAGTTGATTGGCGGATCGCTTTCCGGGGCTAATAATCCCTCCAAAAAGAAATGCGATCACTCAATCCACGACTGTTTGTGGGTTACATTTTAAACGGATCTCAAATAACCTGTCTGGTCTGTTAGGGGTGGGCGTGCGGGGGGAGGAATCTTCAGAGAAATATTCGGTTATTCTGTTTTATGCAATCAACTAAATAGTAATGGTGCAAATTTGAAAAGCTGTTAGATTGAAGAGAGACTGTGGCGTGCAATCTGTCTAGGCATTCCAATCTGATACAAATTAATATCAGTGAAAAGCTTCTAATTCAACACTCAAAGATCACAGAACATTGATAGGTTGCTTTCGATGATAAATCTAATCTGTTTAATATTATTACCAAAGGGAATTCCTGCAGTACAATGGAACTTCATTAGTAAACAGCTATCTAAACAACAAAGACTACCATCAAGGGTCTTTCGGGTCAGGATTGTAATTATGCACAGTTTTACAGGATTCAGTAGAGTAGACATAAAAGCTTCTGAAGGTTAAATTAATACAGTCAAACATGAACTGCAATTTGCTTAAAAGCCCACAGTTATCATTTTGTGCATACTCACATCTTATATACATATTAGTCACAAATGATTGTTTCATAACAAATTGCAACCAACACCTAGCAGCCAGTGAATAGGAGCCAAATGTCTGATCCAATGATTTAGACCTTTAATGTATAATGGGATACGCAGATAGATTGCACGCATGCAAATTGCTTTTATTTCTATTTGAGGCTTGTTTCACATCTATTCATCACTTCTTTTGTCTGTGTTTTTATTTCAATCGATTTAGGTTTTGCGTTGGAGATAAATTTTTCCTCAAGAACAATATGATCCTGTGCCAGACAGATTATGAGGAAGGTTTGATGAAAGAAGGTTATGTATCCCAAGTCCGCTGATCCACAACCACTGTACTGTTATCTAGTTTGAGCACTAACTTCTGTATCGTTTAGTCGACATGTAAATATGAATTGAAACACAGAACTTTTAGATTAGATCCACAGTAGCAAGATATGGTGACATGTTTGCAGTAAAGGTGAGGAGAAAAACAGTACATAGTCATTTTTGTTCCTGCTACAAGTTGAATGTCCCTTACACGTACTGTATATATTGAGCTTTCTGTCAGAGAGGAAAATAATTTTTTTGTTTGCTTGTTACAGTTTATAATTTTATGTGTCATTTGGCATGAAATGTTTATTTTGGACAACTCTTGTACATACTGTATTGTAATATCGAGGCACAAATGTAATACAGTTTTATTGTGTTAACATTTGTGTTCATCCTTGTTTGTACTGTTGCATTTAGTACAATCAGTGTTAAGATTTATTGTATAATTATGCTTTCTGTATTCTATTAACGGATTTTACCTGAGCTGTAACTTTCTATTAAAATAATCAAACAGCAATGCTCTGCACTTTAATTTGTCTGCCAATACAATGCATTTAACACCCAGAGACCTGGAAAGAGAGGAACGGAGCTTGATCTATACCTGATGAGATTGGTTAACTAAGTAGATTTACCAAACAGCTGATTCAATAAATATTTTGTCTACCGGCTGACAAATCAGTTTATCCAATAAATACGTGTAAACCACGATTTTTGTGGAACCCTTGTAAAATGTGAATTTTATTTTGAGAAAAAGAAACGAGAATTTCCTCATTTCTCCCTGTTCTTTTCCTTGGGTTTTAATCTATTTATCTTGGTTCCTCGGTTAACAAATAGAGATCGAAAGTGGATGAGAGAAAGCTGCTGAGTTAGTGCATTAAGAACTATTTGAGCTGGTTGATTTCGGGACACTCGTATTTTTTAATGCGTGGTTCATGTTGATGTACATCAATAATCATTATCGGGTGATTCTTATCTCCAGTTTGTCCATGTTTTAACAGACAGTAGCCTCCTTAAAACACATCATTTGGCTTTGTTCTGCTTTTGTGATTGTAACAGGGAGGTTGAAGATTATTGTGAGCAAATGTTTTTTTTTAAAAAAAATATATACCACATGCAAATCAACCCACCACTGTTTGTGGGACACCGCTGTGCGCAATTGGCTGCCACAAAATATAAAGTCATCTCATTTTACAGTATATATTGTGAAGCGCTTTGAGATGTCTCGACTGTGTGATAAAGCGCTATATCTAATGGAAGAATTATTATTACTTTAACAAATTAACCTTCAAAACAGTATTACAACATGATTTGGATGATGAATGTTTTTTTTATAAAAATCCATATGCAATAATACACCAGAAATATAAGGAAATTGCAAAGCCATATTTACTGTAGGTGAATGTGATTTTTTTTTCTCCCCTTCCCAAAAAACAAGCATGGGGCAATATATAAAACCTGAGTGTTGAGCATGGAGTCTGAATAAACTGGATTTTCATGGTTTCTGATTTTTGTTCCATTCCATCAAAGGTACACAATCAATGGAAAGGAAGGACTTACAAAATCCTATTGATGTACGAAAATACCACTGCACCATCAATTAGTTCTGAAAAGACAAACCTACTTGTACAATCCTGCATATTTCCAATCAGCGTTTCCTATTCCACTAATGTGTATTGATTATTCTAAACTTCCTAACGTGCCATTTTAAGTATTATCACAAAGTGTGAAAAAGCAGGTTTATGTAAATATTTGATATAAATGCGTAGAGCCTTTCATTTGTTCCATTAAAAAAATTGTATCGCTATTTGTGGAAAAAATACAATAACAAATTACATTTGCATTGCCCCTTTCATGTCGGGAGGACATACCCTTGGTCAATGAGATCTCACATATCTAATGGTTCCTCATGGTCATAGCTCATCCTTTTAATCCCAGGAATCAATTACGTTGCTCTCCTCTAGGTCCTGGTCAACCCTCTTATGATTTGGCTGCTAGACTGTATGCAGTACTCCTAAGTGCAGCCTGATGAGAACACATTAAACTTGACCATGACATCTGGGGATCTGAACTCCACTGATTTGACAATATAGCCCAATATACTGTGTGCCTTACTTTACAGAATATTCTGTGAAACACTTTGAGACGGCTCTCAGTGATGTGATAAACTGCTGTATCAAATGCAAGGATTATTATTATTGCTGTTACTACTATTAAGTGCTTTGGGACATACTCCTGATGTGGAAGATGTTATACCAAATGTAAGGATTATTATTATATGTGGCATTTCATAAAATTGCATCAGACAATACTACCTGACACACATAAAACAATGCTTGCAGCATTTTAAGTGTAAACTACATAGATCTAAAAAAAGTAGTGTGAGTCACTGTATAAAGAAAGTCTTCACTTTAACACTGATCAGCTGCAGCCTGACTGACACAATATTCATATTTCTAGCTCTATATGTATATGAAATGTGCTTTGGAAAAATAATCCTGCACACAGACATTAAAGAGTCAACAAAACGTGCAAGGCCAAAAGAACATTTCTGTCTTGTGAAATGTAAAAGCACTTTTCCTCTTATAGAAATCATGTGTGGTAGTTCAATAATCCTCAAAAGATTTCATCAAATTTCTCTGCCCTCTTTAATCTACAAAAAAACCTGAATAGCTCCATCGTCATTCAGCACCAACCGAACTAATTGCGTTATTGGAATTTAGTTAAAAGTTGCTCTTAATGCAGACGTTTCTGTTTAAAGCAGGTTATGATTAGCCACAGAGTGGAATCTGAGTGCATATCTTGTACTCGATGTTCATTAATTCAATAGCACGAAACAAAAAAGAACCACCAATTAATTAATGAGTCACACTGCCTCAGATCACTTTGATTAAACAGCAAAGCCACTGAAATAGCTGATCTAAATGGAGCTGCTTCACTCCCAATCATTGTCCTGACTTGCGCCTTTATTTGAATGGGGCCACCTTCATACTTAGCTTGAGCTGGAGGGTGATTGTGTGATTAGGTTCGTAAATGGCTGTTTAGAAAAAAAATGCACGCTTTCAAGGCAAATTTCTGCTGAGCTGAGCTATGTATGCTTACTGCTGGAAAAGATTGCCAGAAGCCAGTTAAAGGACAATGCCTCGGGATGGAAGGGATCCAAACAAAGTTATTATCATAATTTAATGAAAATAGCCTTATTCCAATTACAGCCTTAACTTGATTTTTTTTCCCTCTGCATAAAAATATATTGAGTTATGCCCCGTGCACCAATATATCACTTCCATAAATGTCACATACGCCAGTTTAAACGGAATTGAGCCACACTATCTGTCCCTTCACAGATATATACTCACTAGTAACTGTCATTGAATCATATGTGTGTGCCACCAAAATAAGCATGAAATGAAACAGTTTTATTCTATGGTTGTGACAACTACAACAACTTGCATTTATGTAGCACCCTTCACGCCAGGTAGAGTCCCGGAGAGCTTCGCGCACGGACAAACATCAGAGAAAAACAAACAAGTTTGATCGGAATCATTTTTTCACCTGCCACTTTCTCTCTTTTCACTGTGTGATCCATGTGCCCAATACCTTCACAGGATTTAATAGGAACTATCATTTTTGTTTGGGTCAGCCGGGCATCTGACACATGCGGAAACCCATCACCGTGCATGATTTCCATGCATCCCATCTACACATGGGAAATCCCAGAGGTAAATTGTTGGATTGTAGGTCTAATTACTGCTGTGAAGAAATTTAAAATGAAAGTGTGTGCAGTTAGAATAATATTATAACACAGCGGGATTATTCTCCCCTCGTGGATAAATTTACAAAACTTTAGCAGTATCTGCATCCACATCCACACACACACACACAGTCAAAGCTCAGTAAATTTGCCAACAAGCAACTAGTACGCATTCACTGTCCAAGGTCAGTACATTGATCAACAAGAAGAAAATAAATGTTTCGACAAGTAAGAAAGGCTGCCAGGGAATCGTAATGCAATGATTACAGGACGTTTCGACATCCCAGAAAAAAATTAGACTGATCTGGGGGAAAGTGCTGTGGAAATGCAAATGATGAAAAACACAAACAATTCCATGCAGGTGTTACGTGACTTTTTTTTAATCCAAAACATTAAGTGGAATAGAAGATGTTACGTTAGATTCAGTACTGAACAGTCCCATCAGAAATGCTTAGCAACTTGGAAGTGTGCTATCATCGAGATTTCATTTTGTGATAAAGGTTTTAAAGCCTTTGTTATAAACTAACAGGACATATGTGCAATCTTCCAGAAGAGCTGCATTAAGAACTTTAATTTCCAAGGAGAATTAGGACTGAAAATACTTGAACGACATGATGAGGCGCTGTATCAAATGCAAGAATTATTATGGATATATATATTAAAATGAGGGTAATACAGTACTGTTTACATTTATATTCCACATCGGGAGGACGTCTCAAAGCATTGCTGGATGGGGACCTAGGATGGGCGGTGGGAGCCGAAGAAGAGGAGGAGGGAAAAGTGACTGAAAGTGCGATCAAAGAGGTAAGTCTTGAGCCGGGCTTTGAACGTGAGGAGGGATGTCCAATCGTGAAAAATCTCACTGCACTGAAAATCACCTCCAACAAGTAGTGAAAAGTTTGTGCTGCCTAAGTGAGCCCCCATTTAACAACAACAACAAATTGCATTTGCCTTGCACATTGGGAGCACGGCCCAGGGCACTGGACAGCACGATTCACAGCAAATCCCTACCAAAATCACAGTGATTTTGTGACTAAAGGTACAGCATAAAGTCCTTTAATATAAAGACCAATTTTGCAATGAAGAGACTAACCAATGTAAGAGCTAACAGTCCAGCTACTGGAATCGTTCACGCACGGCAAACCATTTCTACACAGAGGAATAGAATTTGCTTCAAGCAATCCTGCCACAAGTGATATTTTGTAAACCAACCATTGCAATGCCATGATAATCACAGTTAAGCACCTTAAGAGGCAGTAAATTAGATGCCCGTCCCTCTAGTAAAAGACATAGTGGTCTTTCGAATTGAACATTTACAGTTATAGCCAAGAAACTGGGCAAAAGGGACACTGGGTATGGTTCTACAGGGTGTCTAATAAGTCTTGAAGAAATGGGATATGTATTTTTTAACTAATAGGATAGGTATCACAACGTTTTGGTCACCTTTATTTCACTGATTCTGAGATAACAACCGTTTTGACTAAATTATACTGGCCATTCCATTCAGGTACCTCCTGACAAAAGAAACATATCACCATTTGTAGGATCTTCGCAGGAAGTCAGGAAAATTTCTTTCACTAAGACTGTTTCCCTTTTAGCCTCTGCTCTGAGCTGGACTTACTGCATATTGCGAAACTTGTGTTGAGAAATCACAAAGTGCTTTTCCTTTAATCTGCTCACCACTTCATGATTTTAATTGGTGTTTTGTAGCTGGTCCAGAAATCTATTTACAACATCGTAAACACATTAGAAACTTGTAACCCTTCTGTTTGCAATAAATAACAGAGTTATGGAGGATCACACTCAGAAGCCTTACTCACAACAACAAATTACACGTCGGGAGCACGTTCCAAAGCGCTGGACAGTCAAGGGTGTCCACACGGGCTGGGGGTTGAGATCAGGAGGTGTGGAGGGCGGGGAGGGTG